CCTCCCCCTTATTACACACAACAAGGATGTATGAGGTAATTCCACATGTGCTCTTTTTAATTTTAAAGAGAAACATTTTTTTTTTTCAGTGGCATCTTAATGTCGGAGGACATCAGCTCCCCTTGAAACATATTCTTCCATCCACTGTGGCCAGACTTACGGAAGAGTCTTTTGATGGCATAACAAAGGTTCCTGTCTGTTCAGTTCTCATCAGGCTCTTGCCTCATTCAGAGGTTTGTTATGTACATATATATAAACATGTTTACCATGTTGTCAACATTTTTTCTGTTGAAAAGTTCTGATCACCGCCATCAAAAAGACCATGAGCTATAACATGATATGTACACAAAGAAAACCATTTACCAGAGCTACATGATGTATATTAATTGGCATCATGTAAAAATGTTTCATTGTATTCTATATTTCAGGTGTTCATTGAGGCCCCTGGTTATGCAAGTGGATTCTATGTCAGTGATTGTTGTAAACCCAATGAATCAGAGAGGTGTATATTCAGAAGGTTCCAAGGCTATCATGCTTATCCCCCAACAGTAAGGGAGGCTGTGCGTGACATCAAAGAAGAGGAAGCAAATCAAGATACAGAAGGTTTATCTGTGTGTGTTATAAATGTGACATTTTTCTTCCTGAGCAAATGAGATCTAATGTATTTAGATCTTTAACATGAATGGACGGGGTTTGTGTTTGTGTTATGTAGTGGGAGAAGAACTGTGTTAAGTAATAAACTGTAAATTATGCCAAGCTGATTTTTTTTTTTGACAAATTTCACTAAAAAGCATCAAATCCATGAACATTCACTCATCTACATGTTTGACGAAATTTTGTCAAATCTGCCATTTATGTTACTGTGGGAAAATGTTTACCACACCTGAATCAAAAATCACTAAGGTCTTTGAAATGTTTGATCCGGGCTGTGTGGTATCCAGTGAATTGTTCAATCACTAACGTCTGTTGAACACCCTAAATAAGGTGTTTGAAATCATCTCTTTTTTCAGAGTTTGACCTCGCAAATGATCAAGTTGTCACTCAGTGGTATCAACGAAGGACAAGCAAACACATTTTGATGAGGGAGCCACCCAAGGCAATGGACCTGATCAAAGTTGTGCAATATGACCAGAAACAGGTAAGTTGGTTCAGTTTGCAAATGGATAAAGGGGGTAATTTTATAAAGAGACTGTGGTGCTGCACTGGTGGGAGAGTATAACAGGGTTATTAAGTATTATCAACTGAGTTGATGACGTAAATTGGCCATTGTAAAGAGTTTTAAGGCTAATGTTCCAAGTGTTA